GTGTTCTCTACTTGTCTATTGGCAATTTACCCACTATTATTTTCTAGTATTTTGGTAGCATAAAGGATAATATTTTTGTGAAGTCTTATAATAATCTGAAATGTAATACATTTCTTCTAAGTTTCTAAACCACAATATTTTTGTGTTGGGGGAGGGGTCCTAACCGTGTATGCAGGAACGGACTCAGAATGGAATCCAGAGAAGGCCATCAGGTGTCCTATCCTCATTCCCTTGAGAAAAGATCTCTCACTGGATCTGGAGCTCACTGGTATCCCAGAAATCTTTCGGTATCTGTCCTCCTGAAATTTCAGACATGTGAGAGTCCGTGCCTAGATTTTTATGAGCACTAGGGATTGAATGTAAGTTCTTATGCTTGCAAAAAAAGGAGACTTTTACATACAAAGCCACCCTGTAGATTCAGTAACTTATCCTAACCATAATTTCTATGCATCTGGCATCATAAAATGGATATGACACTTCTGTTGCTGTGCTGGAAACCATGACGAAGACCTACTTAGAGAGAAAGCATCTATTTGGCTCTCACTTCCAGATCACTGTCATTGAATGTAATCAAGGCAAGAACTCAAGGAAGTAACAAGGGATGAATTCAGCTTGCTAGCATGACTATTTTCCTGGTTTATACTTAGCCAGTTTTCTCAAACTGACCTGAACCATCTGCCTAAGGATGGTATCACTCACACCAATCATTAAGCAGACAATTTCTTGAAAATGTGGAAAATGGGCACCCTAATCTAGGTAACCCCTCAGTTAAGATTCCCTCAGACGACTTTATACTATATAATGTTGATAGTTAAATCTAATTCAGACAATACACACACCACATGTGTGTATGCATTTCCTTATAGTAGTCAAAATACTTTAAACACATCTATTGCTTCTCTTTACTGAATCATCATCCCCCCCCCACCCACTGGAGGGCTTTCACTCTTTAAATTACAAAGCAACGCTAAGAGTTTTTGTAACCTTAGAACATTTAAGGTGTATCTGTATGATCCCTCTCATTTTCATTGCCTTTGTTAGTGTAGCTTTTATAAGAATGGGTAATAAGGCAACAGAAGATATAAGAAAGTATATTTTAGAGTAATCAGAAATAAACAATTGTTCTTTACCATTTTAGAAGTTATCAGTTAACTTATCAAACTCATATATAATATATATATATATAAATATTTGTGAAATAGAGATAATGAAATAGTTTTTGCAAAAAATCTTAGATTTTTAAATAGTTTGTTAATATAATCAGCAATGTAAACACATACATAAGATATAACTATTGAATCAAATATTATCAAAATTTATATAATAAATATATTTTCAACAAAGGCAGATATTTTTCCTTGTGTAATGTAGAAGACCTAGATATTTCTCTGGATATATAGTGCTGAAACTTGGATATGCCGCGAGATATATAGTGTTGGGAGCATCCTGTATTCCTTGATATCACTTGCTCTTTGCCTCTCACTCTGTAAGTTGTTTCCTTTCATCGCTTTCCCCCCTGAAATCTGGTTTTAGGGGGAGCTCTTCTTAGCTCCGCTTTTGATAGGTTTATATTTGCTCTTCAGATGGTTTCATGCCTTCCAGATCCTATATCCTGGCTGCTGTGCATTTACGTCTCAAACAAAAACTATCTTCTAAGTCTCACATCCCTTTCCTACTTGACATCTGTTCCTGGACTCATCAAAAAATGTTTCAAATTTAAAATATTCAGAAGAAAATAGTTATTTTTCTTCTGCTACTCTGGCTCACTTATCTGTCTACCTCATCTATATTAACTGTATCAAAAAAAAGGTAATTTCATAGGCAGGATTTCCGGAGCAGATTAACCTTCTTCCATCTCTACTCATATCTAATTCATCAGCACACCCAGAGGACTCCTCTTGGAAGTTATATCTAACTGTGTCGACTTCTTTCTATTTTTACTGTTATCAGTCATGACAGAGCCTCTGTTATTCCACCTAGGTTACTATGAGTCTTCTAATCGGACTTCTTGGGTCTGTTATCCAGAACATCCTGCTAGCCAAAGGCTCCTAAACTTGAATATGCTTGTCATTGCTTACAGCTTCAGAATGGCATTTAGTGGCAATTCACATTAAACACTAGGAGATCCAACTAGTTTGCCTCTTCTTTAGCCTGACCAGCTAATGCCATGATTCCATCTCTCTTGGTCTTTAGGTCCTACCTGCCTTGCTACATGAACATCTTCTTTTCCTTTTTCTTGTTAACTTTCTTTGTATTCATTAAGTGTCCACGGATGCCATTGCTTGGGGGTATTGACTAGTAAAATAAGTCTGTGAGTATCAGGAGAATATATACCATTAAATATTGTAAACATTTAATTGTAAGAGAGGTACAACAATAATACATACAACTCATTGATTGGGTGTAATAAGTGCTTCAAGAGAGGCAATGATAAGTATTAATGTGCATCACTGCACAGCGTTTTCACATATCTCCTACCTAGTAGTTAAATATTGTTTGAAAATGTCATAAAATTAATTTGACATATAAAATGGTGGCAGCAGTACTTAAATATGTATACCATATCTTGTTATATATGGCTTTGCTAAAACAACTCTCTAACATTGGATTGAATGCTCATTTCATGTTGTTGGTATGTCATTTCTAGCTTTATATTCGTTCTTCAAACATAATTCTTTGAGAATTTTTCATCACGCACCCCAATCTTGTTAATTTCTCAGTCTCTCTATATCTGCTCCTCACCCCTGCAGCCTGCTCCCCAAAATTAATTAGAAACAAAACAAACAAACAAGCAAAAAATCCACCTCATTCCTCTGTTATTCCATTATTTCTTCATTCATTCTAGCAGCTTTGGAAAGCTGTGTTGTGTCATGCAGTATAACCCTATGTCCAATCAGCCTGACCCACACAATATTCATTGTAATGAGTCATTAACTGATCTGGTGCACACCATCACCACTGGACCATCACCAAAACTCCCCTGGGATATCCTGATGCTGCCCCAAGTCAGGAGATGCTTTGGGTAACCTTCTGCAGGGCCAGTCTGTTCACTCACTCTGGCAGGTCGTAGACAGGGTAGATGTTAGGATGGGCCAATCAAGGCTGAATTGTTCCATCAAGACCATGGGGACCAGCCTCTCAGGTGTGGGTAGAACCAGCTCTCCTAGGCCCATATCATCAGGACCAACTCTCCCACATCTATGGTGAAGAAGGGCGGGGCTATCTCTTCTGAGTGCAGTGGCCAGCTTGTCTATGGGGGCAGGGCCAGCTCTTTTGTAGCAATGTCCATCAAAGGGCAAGGTCAGCAATCACAGGGCCAGTAAGGGACAGGATGACTGAGCATGGCCCTTGGATTTCAGCATGCATGGTTTCTATTACCCCCTATGGTATGATATGCCATAAACACCATCACAGATCCCAGCTACAGAATGAACATGGGCTCAGACATGTCCTTGGCAGCAGCTTGAGATATGATGTCACCATGGCTCTTGTGGGAGTACAGACTACTCAGATCATCATGGTCCTGGTGACAGCAAGGGCCTTGGACACCAACATGGTCTCAGGTTCTGTCCATATCCCAGACATCTGTTCAGCACCCCATGGCCACAGGAGCCATGGACATCAACACAGACCCTGGCTCAGATGACATCATGACCCCATGTAAACCACAGGCTACTTAAATCAGAATTGTTCATGGTGGTATGGCCCTCAGTAACCAACATAGGCATAGGTTGCCATAGGAGTACCATGCAGAATGTCAGAGAATTATCTGTCTTCACCGTCTAAGCACAGAATTTCATTTGAACCTCAGTAACAAAAGAGATTCTGTTGGGAATACATATAGCCCTGGTCAATTTAAAATATTTGAAAATATTACATATTTTTGGTGATGACCTTAAGGCCAGTCTAGCACATATTATCAAAATTTATCAAATTGGATACTTCTTGTTCTGTGATGTTAAGAATGTTACTAATAATTCTTAATATCAGAATTTGTAAATTATTCCCCCTAAACTTGAGTGCCTGTTATTCATGCTTGATTATAGCACTTTGCTTTGTAATGTTCAAACCTTCTCCTCACCCATCCTTGATATATATTACATATTAAATGTACAAAATGCTTGTATATCACAGAGTCCTTATTCAATATACTTTACACTGCATCAAGGCAGAAAATATACATGATTTTAATGTTTTGTTTTGTTGGCTGTGGGGATGGTAGAAATGGAATTCAGGGTCTTCTGTAGACTACTCAAGCACTCTACCACTGAGTCACATCTAAACCCTCTAATGAACACTGCTTTAACAAATGAATAGTTAGCAAAAGTTCAGTAGTGAGATTTGGAAAGACTTCAGGTCTGATTCCTGTTAAAATAAAAATCAAAACTGGATACAGTCGTACTACCCAGAGATCACTCACCAATCTTCAAAAGTATTTAAGGACCAGTGTTTTCAGGATATTTAGTCCATAGAGTAGCTTGAATAATTAGATGCTGTTTTTCACAGGTGTTTTTGCTGTATATATCATTTGGTTTTCTGTATTCCAGACGAACAAAAGGAAAGTATTAATGTAAAGATGTCAAAACCAAGAAACTGACGCAGAGACAAAACAGAACACACACACACACACACACACACACACACACACATACACACACACACCAAATTCCCACATTTTTCAGTTCTAGTTTTTCAATCTATAATATCAAATCCCTCTGTTTTTCCATTAATACGGATGTTCAGAGTGTATCTGGAATAGTATTTATTATATTAAAACTCATGTTTCTCACTATTTTTTCAGGTAATGAAGATCATGATCACATGGATGCATTCAACTAGAAGCTATCTGGGGACCTTGTTACTTTTTAGGGTCTATATCTAAATTGCTGCTGGATTCCATCAATGTGCCGCTCAACGCAGGGTGTCATTTGATTACTCCTATTGGAAATCTGAATTTCTTCCATCATGATGTCTTTATTAGCTTGAATTCCTCCCCTAAAATGGTCCTTCTGTTGATCCTGTCAGTCCTACTTTTGAAAGAAGATGTCAGAGGGAGTGCACAGTCCAGCGAGAGGAGGGTGGTGGCTCACATGCCAGGTGACATCATTATTGGAGCTCTCTTCTCAGTCCACCACCAACCAACCGTGGACAAGGTTCATGAGAGGAAATGCGGCGCAGTCCGTGAGCAGTATGGCATCCAGAGAGTGGAGGCCATGCTGCATACCCTGGAAAGGATCAATTCCGACCCCAATCTCTTGCCCAACATCACGCTTGGCTGTGAGATAAGAGACTCCTGCTGGCATTCAGCTGTGGCCCTGGAGCAAAGCATTGAGTTTATAAGGGATTCGCTCATCTCTTCAGAAGAGGAAGAGGGTTTGGTACGCTGTGTGGATGGCTCTTCTTCTTTCCGCTCCAAGAAACCCATAGTGGGAGTCATTGGGCCTGGCTCCAGTTCTGTGGCCATTCAAGTCCAGAATTTGCTCCAGCTTTTCAACATACCTCAGATTGCATACTCTGCAACCAGCATGGATCTGAGTGACAAGACTCTATTCAAGTATTTCATGAGGGTCGTTCCTTCAGATGCCCAGCAGGCACGAGCCATGGTGGACATAGTGAAGAGATATAACTGGACCTATGTCTCAGCTGTGCACACTGAAGGTACGTGATTTCCTCTATACATATTAAATATGCCACAATACTTTGAAATATCTCTCAGTTAAATTATGAGTTATTGCATGCCTAAAATATTTACCAGTGTAGGTATTTTGAGATGCCTCAACATCACCAGTATGATAAAAAGGACCATGTATTTACACTAACATAATCATTTATATGTCTATCACTTGTTAAAAAGCAAGATATGTTTTTCAATAGAAATTCTGCTATGATGATGATTTTCCAAAGGTTGTTTTTCATTTTTCTGGATCTTCATTTAGTATCTCACATATTTAACATTCTATCATTTCTTTCTCTTGTTTTTATAGTCGAAGGGCAGTAGACCGAAAGATATCTAGTAAGGAATGTAGCTTAGCATGCTGTTATGAAGAATTGTCAAACAGTGTAAACTTTAAATTATTTGTTATATAGAATGCTTAGCTAAATGCATAATAATAAGAAGAATGAATTAGTTTTATGCTTGTGTAGAATATATTTGGGAACTATAATTTTCAATACAATAATAATGTTTTTTAAATTAATTGGTTTGTTGTCTTAAAAATATAGTAATAAGGGAACATCTGAAGCACAATTTATAAGTTTATAAGTTAACATAAATTATATTTGTTGCTAACAGTGTCTTGAACTGAATGTGCATATGCAACTTTTCAATCTGTTTGTTTAAGACTGTTGATATTTTGTTGACCTATAGGACTTGTGTGATCTAAATATTATTGTAATAGTTTTCCTAGGGCAACAAAGTGCACATAATAAACATAAATGCATACTGGAGGAAGCAGCAAATTCTTCTTAAAAATCATCAAACACTTAGAATACAGAAGACTTAAACATCTTTGACAATGTATCAGTGGAACACAAACAATATTACAAGATGTGGTGGTAATTTATTGGGAAAATAGTGAATTTATTTTGGGGAGTTTATATCAGAGTTTTGGACAATTTAGCTAATTTGGATATAACAAACTTCTTGCTATCAAGTAGTGTAATAGCATACCCTTCACTGTATAGGCCCTTATTCATAATATTTAGCACAGTACAAATGTAAAATAGGCTTCCAGATTAACTGACATTTCTCTAACTTTGAAAGTTTTCAGTTGTAAATTGATAGTTTACTTGGAAACATTGATGTGTGGCAATTCTGTGTAATACAATGTATAAGCTAGGATTTCTTTGGTTTTTCCTTTTCATAGAAAAAAAATATGTTCCTTTTACTGTGGAGCTTCTGATAAACATCAAACTCAGTGTCTTGCCCATTGCAAATGTTCACTGAACAATGTTCTATCAAGGCACATAATAACCTTTCCTTTTGCATCCATCTAATGCTGAGATTTTTTCGTGTAAAAAAATCTGTTTTACTTGATTCTCACAACAATCCAGTGACACAGTGTGTTCATATATTTTATGCCAATTTTAAGATTCAAAATTTTCAATGAGCTTGAATAATTACTAAATATATACCTAATAGTAAATTTAGAGCCAGAACTATAGCACTTAACTAACTTAGAGTTCTATATATCTTCATAATTTAAGAGAATCCAATGGTCTAATGCTTTGGGTATATGTTTATAGATCACATGCTTGTTAAAGGCAAATATATGCAAGTCCTCTTGATAGTTTTGTGTATCAAAATTTTCTATGAATTTTCAGTTCAGCAAAGAGGGTGAGGCACACACAGATACTCATGTAGCCATAACTCAAAGTGGCAGAAAGTTACAAGGAATGCCTCTAAAGTACATTGATAAATGATTACATTAACTTTTCTGTTATGTTGGAAGTCTAGTGAGAATCTGATGTTCTACTTTTAACAGAGAGAATACTAATACTTGCTTAAAATGAAACGCAAACACAGAAAGCAATGGCGTTCAGTCAAAGACACGATAAAGTAGAAGATGGAGCTAACCTCAGTCTTCAGAAGTGTAAGGTTTGCACACCATGGAGGAGAGGCTAAGTTAAGATCTGCTTCCAGAGAAACTAATCTTTACATTTGTATTTTACAAATACTGATCCTTGTTTTAGTCTAAATTGGCACCAGTGCTCAATAAGTAATTTAGTAAAGTACATGATGATGTCTTCACACAGCCCACTATTATACACCTATTAAAATGAATGCCAAGCTTTCTTTGTTAATGAGTAAGAGTAACCAGGGCTAGAACAACTTTAAGTGAAAAGCAAGGTATGGCTCTTCGTATTTGGGATTCTGCATCAATCATTTGTCTACATTTTCCTCGAACAGCTAACTGTAAAGAGCAAAACTGAAAAAATTTTATTCTGTGAGAAAATTTAAGTCAATAAGGAATATGACAGAATGAAAAGATTTATTTTTCATGCATGAATTAGCATAGATTCATTCAACGTTCTATGATACACAAATTGCCTATTGTAGCATATTAATTAGAATAAAGTATTTTGTTTGAGGGAAAATAATAGAAATTGTGTTAATAAATACATCCAAAATATAGTATAATATAAACAGGACTTTGGAAATCCAGGTTTGAATGTTCACATATTAAAAATTAACGTTGTAGATTTTTCTGATTATTTCAGAAAGAACTTTGCTTACAAACAAGAATTTGGACATGGGCAAATGAGTCAGGATATCTTTTTGTTTCTCCATGTAGTAGTGGAGTGGTATAGATGTTCACAAAGCAAAACTGGAATCCAGTCAGAAAATCTTTGAGTCAAACAAGGTTCAGGTGTATTGGATTGTGTGGGAATTCTCCAATATGATGTCTCTTGTTCTGTCACTTGGCCCTTCAGAAAGTTTCTTTGAGATTTTTCATAAATGAAAATGCCAATTCATGCTCTCTTCTGTCTGTCTACTTACCTGTCTCCCTATCTATTTATCTATCATCCATCTATTCATGGTTCTCAACCTTCCTAATGTTGTGACCCTTTAATTCAATTCCTTATAGTGTGGTGACCTCAAAACATAAAAAAATTTCATTGTTACTTCATAACCATAATTTTTCTAGTTATGAATCATAATGTAAACAATAATGTTCTCTAATTGTCTTAGGTGAGCCCCATGACCCTCAGGTTGAGGACTCAGGATCTATAACCTCTGTATGCACCTCTATCTATATTTCTCACTAGATTGAGATAATTTCTTGCAGTTTCAGATCAATTGGTCTCTAGACCTCTCCATTTATTTTAATATTCTAATAAGCTGTCGTTTTTTGCTCAGTTGACTGTTCTCTTCTTGAAAAGTACAAAAAATTCCCGATGCTTTTATGTGTTCTATCAATTACAAAAAGATAAACTATTTTTCTAAAGTGCTTTGTCTTCAAATTACCCATTTACCCCATGCTTAAACATGGCAGCACTGTATCCACTAATCCTTTGGAAACTATCCCAAGATGCTCCTTCTAGAAAATCCATGCTATCTGTCCTTTCAGAGGAAGCATAGGAGACCTGGGACCCAACTTTAATATTAAGTGATTGCACTTACATTTCCTGTCATTTATACTCTCTGTATACCATAAGGATGAACAGTGATGTATGATACATAAAAACTACACCTAGAACTTCTCATCTTTGAGATTTATAATATAAAGCAAGGGAACAGAGCATTAAAGCAGTGTTCTTGAAGGACAAGGCAAACTAGTCCTTTGGCACTAGAGAGGAGAAGATGCAGTGAGTCAGAAGAGAAATGTAATTTTTTCTTACATGAGTCAGTCAGTCCAGACAGTACCCTATTTGCTCTGAGAAAATTCGAGAGGTATTTCACCTCAGTAATTTTCCACAGTTTGGCATATGTGTGCATGTGGCCCAGGGTAAATGGTGTTCATCTTATTAGGGCTCTGACGGATTCTTTTCACTGGTAACCACAATTAATGAGTCCCCCGAATTCTAACCATTAAGATTGTGAGCAGGATTTGCTCCCATGCAACAGGGGCCTCATAATTGATTTGTTTATGGAAGCATCAAGTGGAGACTACTCTCTTCAACTTCCACCCAAAGCCTGGAATTGAACTTGGGGCATCATTCATGCTAGGCAAACTGTTCATCACTGAGATGCATCCCAAGTATCGTGGACTTTTTGTTTTAAAATAAGATTTCACTACACTGCTATACTGGAGCTTAGACTTTCAGTCCTCTTGCCTCAGCCTTCACAGTGGCTGATATCACATAGGTTTAAAGGACTAGGCCGTGTTCAGAGTTTCTTCTTAGTTTTCCTTGAAAACCACTGCCGCTATACGAAGCATTTGTGGCCTCAGGCTTTTCAGAGAAAGCCACTAGAAACTTTTGACGCCGGACATCTGAGATGAGTAAAAGTGCCTCCTCACCCACAGCCATTTGTAATCACGTGAACGAGCTCAGCTGAAGTCTTCAACATTATCCAATAGACCACAATTCCAGTTGAGAGAAATGACAAAAGTCTTTAAGATAGAATTTAGCAAAGCACACACACACACACACACATATATAACTAGTTTTAGATTCTAACCTCATTGGTCACAATGAGATCACAGCAGTCATATTCAAACTTCAGTGTCCAAAAAAAAAATAAGATTATCACCTGCTCTGCCATCTCACCTAAAGAAAATACATGTAATAAACGAATTAATATTACTGAAATGAAAATATGACGCCATAGAATAAATGTTTCAGGTGAAAATACTTAGTTTCTATTCTTGTGAGTTTGATAAATAGTAATAACTATGAAATGTAACCTGTATTGCATGTAAAAAATGCCAATAGACTTGTAGAGTCCGTTATTGCATTCTTTATGACGATGTTGCTAAATTTCAGTAAGGAAGTCAATTTTTGAGTTGGATTTTCTGTGGAAAAACACATATATCATACTCTATATGTTGTTCACAATGTTTTTCCACTTTACCAATTTTCCTGACCTTAACTGGGGTTCTCAAGGGTCCTCTCAGTACCTATTAAAGTGCCAAGTAGGAAACAGGCATTCAATGGCTTGCTGAATAAATGGTCTCCCTAACAGTACGAGACTCATTATGTATGAATATATGGTG